TTATTTCCTTCAACTTGAATGTTAACAATGAGCAATTTAAGTACACATTACTTTCTTTAGCACAGGTTTATATTAATTACAACACAAATTTTTATGTTAGATGTGATCAATACTCAGAACGCTAAGATGACACAATGACAATGCATATTACAAATCGCGTGAACAAAAATATAAAATAAAGTGACGGTAGGTCGTAAACACCATGACTGAAACGTGTTTGTGACTCCTATAAAAAAAAGGTTGAATATGGCTGGTCTAGTAGATTAGAATAATCATTTTTATTCAATATAGATTAAACAATACTGATTGAAAGTCATTTTTAACATTTACCACTGGATTGGAAAATAACCTCTGTCCTGGGAGGAACCAGCAAGTAACCCAGCGGGTTTTTGAAATAAAATTAGTTTACATTATTTATACAATTAGTAAACGCGATTAGTGCAGCCGGTCCCAAGCTCGGATGAAAGAGGGGGCGGTTCCACCGTAGAGAGTGGGTGCATCCGGTGGACTATCACACCCACCTGCGCTAGGACCTGCGCAGTTGAGCGCCGTACGCGGGGATGAAGGAGTCCTGGAGGGTTTAGCCGCTCGTCACTGTAGTGTCAAGTAGCAATACGCACTCTTTGGTCCAGATTTCAAGCTAAACGGTGGCCCTATCTGTTAGCCACAGATAGGGAAATGGCCAAACGTCCCGTCAGAGGGTCGCAGGCAAGGGATGTGGGGGCTGCCTAGTCTCCCTGAAAAAGGCTAGATGGTGGTAAAGACCATGCAGACGGAGTAAGTGAAAGTTTATTCGGGCAGTGGGGATAGGCCTTTTCAGCCCTATCTGCCAGCTGGCTCAAGCTCCCGATGTCCCGCTGTGAGCCAACTCTGCGTCCCTATATTCCTCCGTAAATCCTAGCACCTGAAATTCTTTTTATGATAAAGTAGGGCCTTCCCAAAGGTGCGGGCTCTATGGAGGGTGGGAAGCCGGGGGACGAATTCTCAAAACACAAAGACTATGGACAACACAAGGCCCATTAGAAGAGGGCGACGTGACAGAGGTGTTTACCTTAGACACTGACAAACCAATAGGAACCGCCATTGAACCGGCGGTTCCACAGACTGTACCACCCAGCGTATGTGGCCCCACCAAGGGGGCAGTTTCCGCGCTGGATTTCCAAAACCAGTTCCAAATCTGAGGAGCTGGACGCGAAAAATGAGCAAGGGGCAGCGAGTAGCAAAACTCCTACGGAGCCCCAAAGAACCAGGGACCTTTTCTCTGCTGCCTGGCAAGTGATGAGCCGTAAAGGAATGTGCAAGACACTCAAAAGGGTGACTCGCCGACCTGACGGACCATCAGGTGGGTCTATCCCAGCAGGCAGTGTTGCAAGGACCAAAAAGAAGAATAAGAAGCAGCGAGAAAAAGGCCGCAGAGAAAGAGCCGCGTTCGCTGCTTTCGAGAACAACACTCAGGGAGCTGTGCAAGCTATTGTCACTGTGGTGCTTGGGGCTGGAACCAGTAGCTGTGCTGAAACTAGGAAGCAAGCGTCCTGGTAAGAAGGAAAGAGCAGCCAAAAGGATGCTGGATAAGTCCACCTCGCCGAGAGGCGAGCACAAAAAAGTGCGACTCGAACAGCAACCAAAGGCTACAAGAACGAGCTGCGCTTCTGCTGCTGCTAAAGCAGATTTGGTTGTGGCCTTAACGTGTGCTCGTTCAGGTCACATAACAAAGGAGGTAGCTGATGATATCCTCGTGACTATACTGAGGAAGATGATGAGCGAGGCCTGGAGTAACCAGGACCCTGATGCGTCGGGCCCAGTTTTTAGAGGGAAACCCCTTAACACGGAGGGTGTTCTGAAGCTGTGGTGCGACGATCAGAAAGCCTTGGACTGGTTGAAGGAGAATATTAATACGCTCGACCTCAAATCCAACACCTCGCTGACTATAAAGAAACAGTCAGAGATACCACAAAGAATCAAATATCCTTATCCCTGATGCCCAAGGTGCCTGGAAGGACTGACGCGACATTGGTCGTGTGTTTGCGTACCAGAACCGCTGGGTAAACATCAGGGACGAGCTGCAACTCAAAGCGGCCGTTTGGCCGCTTTGAGTTGCAGCGTATTAACGAGGAACCACCCGTCTGTCTGTTTAGACAGACGGGTGGTTCCTCGTTAATACGGTGCCGGAAGATCATATCCCGACCCTGATGAAAGCCGGGCGCAGTCTCGCATGTGTATGTGGGGCGGTATACGTTAAATTCCAGGGTCGCAGAGGAAAATTCTTTGATTCTCCACCAAGCAGAGGCAGAAAAGAACCCGGAAGTCATGGAAACCGGGGCCATGGTTAACCGGTTTATCGGAATCACTGGGTGTAAAGTCCAGTGAAAAAACGGCCTGCACAACCGAGCCGAAGCCCCCAGTGGAGACTGAGCTCACCGGCAGCTCACTGAGCGACGAAGAGGACTGCATTTTGCCGTCTAATTCCGACTCGGTGGCTGACGATGAGACCCGGGATCTGCTGGCAGGCTTATTTTCGGGCGGGGACGGGGAGGACGCGATCAATGATGGCGTGCCCTTCGTCCAGAACTAGCCTTGTGTAGGCCAACCAACTCAACCACAGAGAAACTGCGTCGGCTCAATTACGCAAGTGGGTGGAGGCACAAAGGTCGGCCATAGCCCTAATCCAGGAGCCATGGGTTGGGGCTGGTAAAATTAAAGGGCTATACAACCTAAAAGGTAAGTTATTCAACAACTCTGAGCAAGACAAGCCTAGAGCGTGTATTTATACTACTAAAGATATCTGTGCAAAATCATTAACAGATATCTGTTCCAGAGACATGTATGCCATAGCATTACAAAATACACAGGAGGAAAGATTAGTCGTCGCCTCGGTCTACATGCCTGAGGAAGACACTCCTCTCCCTCATGATCTCGTCAGGCTGGTGAATTTCTGCGAGAGAGCCGGACTAGAGGTTGTGATCGGGACGGACTCCAACGCGCATCATCCCCTTTGCGGAATGGAAAAAATAAACAAACGAGGTAAGGTGTTAGTTGAATATTTATTTAGCTCTAACCTAACCATTTAAAACACTGATTCTGAATCAACTTTCGTAAATAAACGCTCACACAATAATCGACCTCACACTTGCAACAGAAGGAGCAGCTAAACTAATAACGGGGTGGCATGTGTCGAAAGAGGCCTCATGCTCCGACCACAGATGGATCTGCTGCGTACTACAGGTCGATATCTCCGCTATACCACCATGGAGATGGAGATATCTCCATGGTGGTATAGCGGGGATATCAAATATACAAGCAAGACGGATAAAACAAAATGCCTCAATAGACTGACGTCTTCGCTCGCGGGTGTTGGGGGAACTAATACCACAGCAAATCAATCGCTCCTAGAAGAACAGGTAGCAGCTGTTACTGAAGCCATGATCGATAGCTACCATGAATCATGTCTAGTAATCACTCCATCAAAACATGCTGAGCAATCGTGGTGGGGTAAAGAACTAGACACGAAACGTGAGAAGGTAACAAAAGCCTTAAAAATAAGGCCATGAATACCTCAATGGATTAAGACTGGCTACTATATAAGAAAGCTAAGTCTGAATACAAAAAATGTATCAGGTGTCGACGCTCAACAGCGTGGCGCAAATTCTGTGGTAACATGAAACCTGTGAACAAGCGAATCGGATAATCAAAATCCTAGCTAAACAGAACACGCTCCACGCCATCTCTTTAAAGTAACCTGACTCGGATGAAACCCAACGCATCCTAATTGAAACCCACTTCCCAGGATGCTGTGTAGTTGAAAGGGTAAACCAGCATGAAGATGCACTGAAAGCAACAGAAGAAGACTGAAATTTAGCACAGAGAGTGGTAACGATGGATAAAATCTATTGAGCCATTCATAGTTTTTTCCCCTATAAGGCAGCAGGACCTGACGGCATATTCCCGGCACTTCTACAGTGGGGGGGTGGGGGGGGGGAAATCCTTAATAGTCAGACTTGTTCCATAATGAGAGCATGACGGTGACGGGGTTTTTAAATATATTCCTAGGGAATGGAGGGAAGTGAAAGTCACGTTCATACCCAAATCAGGTAAGAGCGACGATACAGACCCATTAGCCTCACATCCTTTCTCCCAAAGACGATGGAGAGAATGTGTGAACGGGATTTGAGAAGGTCAGCGCTAATTAACTTACCGCAACACGAAAAACAACACGCCTATAGCTTAAGTAAATCAATAGAATCGGCACTTTACCACGTAATAAATAACAAAGATCGAAGAGGTCATCCAAAACGTAACAAACATTTATTTACCAGAGGTGTTACAGATAGCATCCTGTGAAAGGCATGCATCAGGGAGGAAGAAACGGCGCCTCACTTGTTGCTGACGTGTCCCGAGGTCACTTCATATAGAGACTAAACATCTCGGCACGCCGTGATCGCTTCCAGAAGTTGCTTGCAACATCAAAGGACTGTTGAACTTCTTCGGGGAGATTTCATGGATCAAATAGTCACATTATTTCTGCCCACACTCAAAATACACGCTTAGCCGTGGAGTTGCAGAAGACAGCCCTTCGTAAACTAAACTATGATTATAATGATAATGATTACTAGGGCTTCGTAAACTGCTGTTTTACTCATTTCAAGTGTTCACTTATTATATGAGTCCACTTATTATAAATGTTCACTAAACTTCAGTATTCAGTATCACTCAATTCAGTATCATATAACAATGTGAATAAATGTACACCACTTAACATCATCTTGTCATGCAGTGAGAGTGAGAAATATTTTAGGAACAGTGAAACCCCCCTCGAGTTTCATTTTATAACCGACCGATTGAAATACTAAGCAGAAGCAGTGCGAAGGCATCAATTAAGTAAATTAATCCTACTACTAGAACATAATTAGTCCAAAGCATGCCACCTGGTGTATTCTTGAAATGCTATAGTTAAAAAGGGTAATTGTGTCCATTGTAACAATAATTCAAAATATTATACATACCTCGTTTAAATTCAACATCATTTGGTATATAAGACACTCCCTCTTGGACTTCTAAACATGGATGTCTGACATCTTTTAATATGAATTCTTCCAAGCTCTCTGTAATAACTGGTCGGCAGTAAGGATATGGCGCTGTGGAGGCCGCCACGGCAAATGACACTAAGACGTCAAGTCGGGACAGCATGTGAGAGAGGCTAAACAAGCACTCGGAATATCCAGCTGAAAATGGTATAATATAATTACTGGCCTGAGTTTATTCAAGCCAGTTAGCATGTCCAGTAGTTAATTCATGAATGGCCTTACTTGCAATATTAATTATTTCGCTGACCACTTTATCCTGTTCTTTCTCATAAGCTTCCTTTGTTTGTACATATTCCTCAGTCACACAATCCAATGCATTGGTTTTGAAACGAACACCTCCCTTAGCAGTGTCAATTATTGTATACTTTTTGTTGCCTCGAATTGTTTGCTCCTCTTTAATTGTTATTCTGGAAGCAATTTTTTTATTAACAAGTTACTTTGCTTAACTGTCAGAGTAATTAACTTTTGAGCTAAAGGAAATTCTTTAGATCAGTGTCCCCCAAACTTTTTTGTGTCGTAGACCCCTTGCCATGTTTTTCTTTATTGGGTAGACCCCCTACTTACCTGATATTGATTTCCTGTAAATTTTTAACTGTAGTGAAGTTTAGTGTTAAAAACTTAAAGTAAAAACACATGTTAATTTATACATTTATTAATTGAATTTAAATTAAAATTACTCAAAATAAAATTTTGTATCTGTTATGTAAAATATACGTAGCATTAAATAAACATAAAATAAACTATAAATAAAATAACATAAGCAATAAGTCAATATTTTTAGTGAGAAGGATGAACCTGATGCTTTAATAATAAATTATCAACATTTGGCGTCAATTTTTTAAGGGTTAATCTTAAATCTTCTCGGCTAATGATGTCAAGCCTGTTTCTTTTTTTTGTTAGGAGATTGGTAACAGCGCTGAACCCCCTTTCCACTAGGTATGACGATTAAAAGAAAAGAAATTGAAAAAAGAAAGGAAATTAAAAATTTCCTCGCTATATTTCATAATACGGGATAAGTAACGGGTATGTTGTTTTGCAGCCAGAATTGCTGATATCCGTTTTTAAACTGAACCTTAAGTTCTTCGTTTTTACTTAGTTCAGTCAGTTCCTCTTGTATTATGACATTCGTTTCTTTTATGTCACCATATGGATTAATTATCCACGGTGGTATTACCATAGTCAAAATATCTTCAAACCTAGATTCAAAATCTGAATAGAGGGCATTTAAATGTTGAACGTAAGTTGAAACGTAGTCTTCCTGGCAGCTTGTCTGTGACAAATTGGGAAACTGAGAAAATTCGCCCCGTCCAATATTTTGCTTCATTAGTTTAACTCTGGCAAGAAACGCTGATAAGATGGACTTTGTTTTAATCAAATTTTAACTGTCGCCTTGTAATTGCAAATTAACCATATCAAATTTTGTAAACAAATCTGTTAAATAGGCGATGTCTGTTTTCCTCTTCATTAAATTTTCTTTTAAAATTTTATCTTTAGTATCCATAAATTCTAAAATAGTCTCAAAAAGTGCAAAAAATCTTGTCAAACATAAGCCTTTCGACAGCCAGCGTACTTCAGTGTGAAGGAGTAATTGATGAAAGTGTTCGATAACCGCGTATTCAACGCGTTGCTTCGGATTCGGGATACCGCAATGACTAAATGACGTGATTCATGCAATCTAACACTCAAATTTTTAGCAACTAAATGTTGTCGATGCATGACGAAATGTATTGCTAACACCCCTGACACATTTTGTTTTAAATAGCTTATAAATCCACGATAACGTCAAACCATGGCAGGTGCTCCATCTGTAGCTACTGATATTATATTTGATAAAGTAATTGCTTTTTCAATGAAGTAATCCTTCAAAACATGAAATATAGATTCACCTTTAGTGTCGGTTATCAAAGTTCTTGCAAAGAGCAGTTCTTCGTAGATTTCTTGATTCATAATAAAACGAACATATGCCAATAATAATGCTGCATTATCAGGAAAAGTTGACTCGTCCAGTTGTATAGAGAAATGGGTCGTATGCAAATAATTACATAAGAAGCTTTCAATATCAGAACTCATTTCATCAATACGTCTTTCAACAGTATTGTTGCTTAAGGGAATTCTTTTAATGATATCAGATGCAGGTTTGTGTAAAACAGTTTTTAAAACCTCTTCAACGGCTGGCAAAATTAACTTCTCTCCGATAGTATGTGGTTCTCCGGATTTTGCTATAAGTAACGAGATATTGTAAGACGCCCGCAAACCATCATCATTTCCTTGTACAGTCGCATCAACATTCTGTCCAGTGTAGGTCTCTTCTGAAGATTATGTTTGAGTGTTTGAAAGTATATCTTTCTCTGTTTTATCAGGGTGGCATCTTTTCAGATGATCTTGCAGTTTACATGGTTTCTTAGCGTCATTGCCCAAAACTTTGTTGCATAAAAGGCACATAGGCAATTGTTTGTCTGGCAATGATAGAATGAAGCCAAATTTCAAATAATCGACACTGTACTTTCTACATTTCTTTTTAGATTCGGACATGGCATCAGTTATCTGTGGGCAAAATTAAATTATTTAAATAAAACAGAAAATCCAGCAGCTGTATATTAAAAATATTTTTTGATTTTTCCGAAAACATTCCATAATTCCAACATCTACTTGCAACAATTAGCTCGAATTACGAAGATTGCACTATAATTATAATACCGATTGCTAAAACTTCCAAAAAGAAACTATTGAGGAGTACTCGTGTAATTTTGCATGATTGAATATTAAACTACTAATAACTAAAGTCATCATTGGCGTAATTTATCTATCTTTGCTAACTACGAGTACAAAACTAAAATATAAATAAAAAATAATGTACTTACTTTTCTCCAGCACTCTCAAACAAAATAACACTGACTCACTATAATTTGTGTGATATACTATCTGTTTATATTTTTTAAAATATTTTCTTAGCACTTTCCTTTTCAAGATTCAGGAAACGAATAAACGTATTTGTCCCACATTCGTATTTATAGAGTGACGAATTCAACAAGTCAGTGCAAGGTCAGCTCTGAGACTGCGACTCTCAGGTTTTTACAAGTTCAAAATGTATTGCGACCACAAAGCGAATACCAACAGCCTACAACTTACACAATTTTATAAACATATATAATAAATTTTTTACTTCATAGGTACTTTTATAAATAATGTATATGTTTTGTTATTATAAGTTAGTATGATGTAAGTAAATAGGTACTATCAGTGTATGTGTTGAGATCCACTATCGTGGACCCCCATTTTCATTTCACGGACCCCCAAATTTTTATTCGCTGACGTAGGTACCCCCTGCAGGTTGTCGTAGACCGCTACGGGTCGATACAGACCACTTTGGGAATCAATGCTTTAGATAGTGATTTGTGGGTTTGGATACATTTTTATCACTAATAGCAAAGATCTAAAGGTAGTAATAATTTAAATGTACCTGAAATAAAACCCATTCTGTGGATTATTTTCTAATTTAATATTCTTCCCTGCTTCAAGGCCAAGATTATCAGCTGCTGCGCGTAGTTCCTTCTCCGCCATTGACTGCAACCTGTCCAACTGTTCCCGCAAGTTTTGCAACTGTTCATCAAATGATGGTTTCACTAAAAACTCGCCTGTAATTAGAATAAATGTGATATATATGAAGAAAAAAAACCATATAACAGTAAATTACAAAAGAAATATTTTGAGTACCTCTGTCAACAGCATCCATGTCAACTGTAGTTTCGATCATCTGCTGGAACTTATCGAGATCTCCATGGAGTTCTGATATAGGTTCTGCTAGAGATGAATGCACTGTAGCACTTTCTGCCTGACCCAGGCACTGGAGAAGTGATGGCAGCCTGTCTATCGCCTATAAATTTTCCATATAAGCAAATATATTCCTGCCCAAGTGTCTTAAGCATTGTTAAAATATTTTATGCAATAACTGCAGCTAGAGAGTTTGCAAAGGATCAGTGGTACTTCAAGCCGGGACAGCTTCTTAGTTAGACAGCTTTCCGGTATTCTATAAGACACAACCCGATGTGAATTCGCAGCAAATACATGACGTAAATCTTGCCACACCCTACCACTATCTGAAAACTAGAAACATGGTTGGTGTCCACCCCTTGGTTGTCGACATTTCGCGCATTATAACTTGTCTTTGACTGAAATAATGAAATAATTTGCCAGCGTCTGTCTTTCCTTCCAATTACAACATGTATGTGTCTTCAAAGACAATGTGATAAAACAAGGGCCAAGGGCTCGTAATAAGTAAAAAGTAAAAAAATGAACCAACGCTCAATAATGATTTCTCATGTTTACGTTAGTATTACACTATAATTCAAGTCTTAACGAAAGTGTATTCATAAGCTATTTGGTATAACACATATATTCACTACCTTTACTTAACTTTGGCGGTCGAAGGAAATGCGGGTATTTCCCATCTGAGGTGTTTAGCCTAGTGAGCAGCGTACATTTAGTCAAACTGTACATCAGTATCCAGAAACTTTGTTAAGAGTGAACTTCAGTAGTTATATTCCAGACCAACGGGTGAGAAAGCCATACGGTTTGAAATACATTTCATCTTTTATTCCTTAGTTTGGAATTTGTTGTAGGTGTCCAATGTAGAAGGACTGCAATAAACACTTACCATCATGTGAGCTTTTCGTACGTGGTAGAGCCACGCTGCAGCTATATTATGGTTCTAGCACGAATGGGTCGGCTCGACCGGGGAAGGACCACGCTCTCACAGAATACCGGCGTAAAATAGCAGCTTAATACTGCTGTGTTTCGTATGGTGAGTGTAGAGATCCGGAGACCCTTTTTACTGCAAATAAGGCATTCCATCTTAGTCCTCAGGGGTGACAATGACAACGCATCTGCGTTTTGATTCTTAATCGAGGATAAATGTAGATGTGTATGGGCCACAACATCCACTTACCATCAGGTAGACTGTGCGCTCGTTTGTAACCCTTCTTCTATAAAAAAGCTGTTAGCTCGCTTATTACTCATTTATTATTAAACAGAAATACCTGGTAAATTTTGTAACAATCCTGCAAATTGGCCTTCTTTCTTGTAAGTCTTCTAGCCAAAGCTTGGAGATCGGAAATACGTCTCAAATGGTCCTCATGTAGTTGTAACCTCAGCTGAGAATTGTTTAATAACACCTCTATGATGTCGAGACGTTCGTTTATAAGATTTATGTCCCTTAATGGCTGGCGTAGCCACTGTGCTAGCAAACTAGTTGAAAAAACAAAAAAAAATTGAAGGAAAAACATGAGGAAATTGAAACAAGTAGTATGCATGCATAGCATGTAAGAAAATAAAAAAGAAATAGTTTATTTTCTAAAAACTTCTATTCATTTAATATGTGTTAACCATACAATTACTGTATGTAATTTAAATGAGTCTATCAAATTCAATACAAGCAAAAAAAGCCTGTGGAACTTCCAAACAAAGTATGTACTTTGTTTTGATGGTGATTTATAGTCAAATGCTAAATAATGTTACTTAAAACTGATTTGTATTTAAACAATCATGTTTAAGTTACACATAAACTACAGTCAATTGGTGTAACTTTGATTAACAAAGGTAACTTCGACAGTAAATAGCAAAATACTCTTTTAATTTGTACGCGAACAACATTTAGTGCATAACATTGAATTTTTACAATTCGTGTGCTTAACAAACTTCGTAAACGGACTCTCTGGAAAAAAAGTAGCTGTCAAACGAAGTTAACTTCAAAAACTTGTTTTAAAGTACCGTGCGCAACTGTTTAGTCTTTTTGCAGTGGTAAACTTTTAAAGGTAAACTTTTAAAAAGAAATTTTAATGGTGATTACCAGAGTTTAAATAAAGATAGTACTACAATATTATAGTTTTATTGACTTGTGTATGACTCCACTGCATCTGAAATTTGTAAAAAAACTTAAACGAATGTTACCCTAAACCTATAAAATGTTTGATAATTATAATTCCTGTGACAAAACTCATCTATGTCAAAGCTATCCATATAGGGGTTATAACTTTGACACACAACATTGCCAGTTTTTGATATATTGTGTGAGTTTTATAGACGTTAAATAATTTGAGAATATGAAAACGAACCTGTGAGCACAGATCACTCTCACAGTCTTTTGTCTCATATTTAACATAATAAAAGTTATACATATACAAAAATAGAGTCATGATCTGTCAAAGTTACCCCGATTGACTGTAAAAAATATTGTAATATGAGAATATATATTATTTTGATATTCATTACATTATAACTTTCACCAGTATCCACCTCACACTTCCATTTTTTCTATTAATCATATAATACTCAATAATCGTATTTTCTTGTACTAAGGGAAAAAAAGCATGCAGTATATTTGATAGCAAGTGGCATTAGAGCCATTAAATGCCATTCGATTATTCAGACGTTGCCTCTAAACACTTTTAACAAAGGCAGAAAAATATTTTATATTGGATAGCTGATTCATTTACAATAACACCACATAGTAAATTATTCTTAAAATGTAACACATTTTAAGTAATAATACAGAGTTTTTTTTATTTGAAAATTTTTGATGTTTGAGTAAAGTGATGTTTGTGTATTGTGGATAATCTTTTTTTATATAATAAGGGTGACAAACGAGCACACAGTCCAATGGTAAATGTAAATGGTAGCTGTAGCCCATATACATCTACATCTATCCTCGATTAAGAATTAAAATGCCGATGCGTTGTCACACCTGAGGTCTAAAATGGAATGGCTCGTATCTAGTAAAAGGATACGAGGTATTTCATCTTACTCACCATACAAAACACAGCAGCATTGAGCTGCTATATTACGTTGGTATTCTGTAAGAGCGTGGCCCTACCCCGGTCGAGCCGTCGACGTGCTACAACCATAATATAGCTGCAGCATGGCTCTACTCCAAAATCTTTATGGACAAAATGTTTCGAACTAACCGTTTTCCTTGCTGAGTGCGACATCTGTCTAACAATCCAAACAAACTGCGCGATGGACAATGCGACGTGTCGCCCAACTCAGGGAGAACGTTTAACGCTGATAATGCTGCTGCATCCAGATGAAGGAAGCCATCTGATTGAATGGTGCTGAGATGAAATCTGTAATTCATTATTTATTTGATATTAACTTCTCAGATCCCGACATTCTATCGGTCCAACTCCTTCAGATCTGTGGTCCAACCATGGTTAATAATAATTTGTTTTGTTTCTCAAAACCAGGCCCTGTCAATTAATGTATGGAACCTATGCGGAACTGCAATAAAACAAAAAAATTAAAGGAAAAACACAACATGCCACCAACATAAGTGTGATGAATCATATTCAATTTTGTAGTATTATGATTTTTAATATATTATTATTATTATTATATGGGGTATTTATAACGTATTCTCATCTGGTAGGGGTGAATAAATAAATAAAATGATATAATAAATAAATATATATTAAATATACTAACATAAATAATACACAAATAAATATGAGCCCAGCCAGCTGAAAGCCCTCGGATGAGGAGACCAAACGGCCCAGGGGTTAGGGCGAAAGGGAAAGAAACCAGCGGACGATGCTAGCGGTAGACCACCTCACATGTCGGTCACCTCGTGTACCAGGTCAGGTATTTTGATTTCTTATCTGTTTCGGATTTGACGAGGTTCTCGTCATACAGAAAGCATATAAGAAATATCGCTAGAAGGCTTATTCGCACGAATAGTCCGATCTGTGATGATGGCCCGGTCCCAGTAGAGCTTGTCACGGTTATTTTCAAGCACGGCTTCCGGTAAGTACTTAGAAGGCAGTTTCCGATCCACGAGACCGAATTTCAGAGCAAGCTCCTAGTGTAGAATCCCGGCTACTAGATTGTATCGCGACCTTATCTACGAAAGGCTCATGTAGGGCCTTGTAGAACCTTCCATGGAGTTCCCTATCCTTTCATACGGTCTCACGGTCGAAATGCTCTGTACTGCCGCGTTTGCCATTTGATCGTTGGCTAAGGATAGAGGGGTAAGCCCTTTATCACAAGAAATGATGTTCTTATAGAATGGATCATCCGATCTCGTCAGGAAGTAATTACGGAGGTTACACGTCGCGATTATGCATGGTGAGCGCGTTTAAAAAGCCACGCCCACCATGCTTCCGCGGCAAGTACAGCCTCATTACCGACGATCTCGAATGATGCATCCTATGGAACGTCGTAACAATGCGGACTTTACTATCCATCCAGAGCGTTCAGTTCGGTCTGAGTTTACCTGAGTATGCCAAACGTGCATGAGGATAGGCATGACCCAACCGTTATATGCCTGTATCCTATTCACGCACAATAAAAGGCTGTTAAGCACTTTGGTCAAGCATGCATAAAACGGATCGCAAACCGATTGTTTTATGTCCGCCTCATAAATACCTATATTTTATGACATACCCAGGTATCGGTATGTTCCAACCTCGGAAAGGGTCCTTATGTTGATACTCTACCCCTCTCAACATGGAGGACCGCACATTTATCCGTCCCCAGCTCCATTCTAATAAAATTACATTACAAGTGATGTTTAGCAATTCCATAAGATTGGTGCGACTGGAGGCGAATAGTTTGAGATCATTTATATAGAAAAGGTGGGTCATTTTTGTACCTCCTACCCGAAGCTAAAATCTCCTCTCAGAGCCCTCCAGTAAGGTAGTGAGGGTTCAGAGAGGCAAAACCAAATTGCACTCAAACAGTGGCTCTGGAAGATACCCCCTCTTACCCTTGTGGTCCTTCGCAGCCGTGATCCGCTCGCCTAGATGACATAGGATCGTACTCCACTGCGGCATACACTGCCCGAGGAAGTCTCTAACTGTACAGTCACCCTTGTACAGCTCGAGGACCCTCTTCAGCCATGTACGAGGAGTCGAATGCCTTTCTGTAATATATCTAGTCGGCGGAAAAGTTTCGACGGTTGCGTTTAACCACCTTGTCAATAATCGCGTCAATGAGGAATGGTTCCTTGGTACCACGACCATCGCCCCGACATCCATTTTGAGCGCCTGAACCTGATTTGAGTCCAGGTGACCATGTACCATTGGTCGCTCCAATGATTTATAGAGATCTGTCTTCTGATCACTCTGGTACGAGAGACGAGATTCTGGTTGACCCTGTCGACCACTCGGTATATCGCCAAATCCGCTTCCCCCAAGCAGCGATTCTCTGTTTCATGTTGTCTATGCGCTCCGTCAATTTTTGTGTAATATCCGGCTGGTATAAACTGACATTTATCCCAGCAAACGCCATCCTGACGGTGCGCACAATTTTTGGCCTGTTATTGCCCGACTTGAAGTATGTCAGTCTGCCGATGAGTGCCCTAGCCTTTGCGATACGTTCCCCAATTCTTATTCTCCAGGCTGGGAGTGCGCTACCTTGTGTAATAGCATGTCCAGCCGTGGGAAGCCTGGCGCCAATAATGCGGTATACTCTAAGTGCGGCGCCGAAAAAAATTGAGTCTGTCTCGCAAAGGTCCCGGTTGGCTTCCAAATAGGTCAGCAGCATTGGATAGAGCCCTCACGAAAGCCCGATTCCGCTTGCTTAGGGGTATGCGGGGAAGTCGTGGTCGATCCTCGAGAGGCGTACAGCGCGTTTCTCTAATCGCCTCTTCCAATATGCTCCTCATATGCCCTTGTTCTTGGGTAACTATTCTATTGTCGTCTGAGTCAATCAAGGAGATCTACGGCGGCATTACATGTGCGGGTTGCTCTGCATCACATCTCTTGTAGCAGTATTTTCATTCGACGAGGGAACAGCCTCACGTCATATTATTTATTATTATTATGGGAGGTATCAATATAGTTTTCTCATCTGGTTGGGTTCTATAAATATATAATTATAAATGAAAATGAAAAGATAAATATACATAAATATCAATAACATAAAATAAATTTAAAAATACATAAATAAAAGCCCAACCAGATGGAGGCCCTCGGCAGGGGAGACCAAACGGCCGAAGGTTAGGGGGAAAGGGAAAAAATTATTTTTATTATTATAACAGCCTATCAAAGTTTACTGCTTAACATATTACGCTACTCGTTAAAATACCTTAAAATGGGGATATTTTCCATAGTTGTTTTATTTTGTAGTTGTTAGCGTAGAACGATACTCTTGCCCATCTCCTGGTTTCCTCCTGTCAAATCTAACAACACCCACGCTATTATATGGGGTAGTGGTCATTTTTACCCCGCCACCATACGGTTACCAGAAGTGAGCAGCGTTGTTGTAAATGTAATTAATAGAAATAACACATATAATTGATGGACCCATCTTCGATTTGCGGAATTCGGGATCGACATGTTTTGGGATGTAAATATTCCGGCATTGGTCGGTCGACTGAGAATCACCTGGTGGTCAAGTGTGCGTTGCGTGTAGGCGAGATAGAAATGTATGGAAAAATTTGTTTTAGTTCGCCCACATTAGAATATGTCGTAATATGTAAAGGCTAAAAAAATATGTCGTACGTGAAGTAAGGACGAAATTAGGCATGTTATATCAACTAGTAGTACATCACTATAAAGCTAATATTTCAAACAAAGGTCTATGATCTTTGAAAATTGTATTCCATATAGGGAATGCAATATGATGTTGTTGCATCAACTATATTTTTCAATATTGCTGTAAAGTCTATAATCTATATACTATTCATAATTCAAGCTAATGACCACAATATAAACACGGAAATACCGTGGGCAATATGAATTCATTCGAAAACCGCCTTTAGTGGGCCTTATCACTTTTGTTTATGTTCGAAATCCTAAGAATAATAAATGATAAGAGAAGTGGTAATTTATAATTAATGTTACTGTATTCTACAAGTTTAAGTCGAACAGATAAAAGATTTCTTGGAGGAATGACTCTTTAATGCCTATTTTACATGAGCATCACTGATACTGCATTAAAGATGAATTAAAAAAAAACTGCAGATCTTTATAACATAGACGATTTATTAAGTTTACGCGAACACTACACATTGATCGAAACTAGTTTTAAGTACTTTATGGCGTTTTTAAATTAATCAATTTATTAGAAATACTAATTAATTTTAAACTGAAGGTAGCCGTGGTTAACTGACATTCGGACGTGGATCACCTCAGTCCCCCTCCCCATGACCATCAATGCTGCATAAGTGAAACAATTGCGTTATCGCAATGTTATCACTATTCGTGTGCGTGCGTGCGTTTGTACGTGTTTGTGTGTGTGTGTGTGTGTGTGTGTGTGTGTGTGTGTGTTCCCTGATCGAACCGATCCATTCTTCATACAACCATAATATAGCTACAGCATAGCTCTACCATGTATAACTCCTGTCTGTATGCGGAGTACGTGCTTACACGAAGAGTTGTGGGAAATAGCCTGTTGTAAACTAAATTGATGACTTTAAAAGATTTTCCAGAACAATGAGTTCTGTAGCGTCACGACTGAGTGATCAAAATTAAGTTTAAACATATCTGATATAATTTTTTATTCTTATACTGACCTTCCAAAATTACTACTATCGTTTAACAATGTCGTATATCTTATAGCTGCAGCCAGACTCGACATAGCCACTTGTTTGCCAGTCTCAGGAAAAACATTCGCATCTTGTTGCTGATTCTCCTTGAACTTTAACAATCGATTTAGGTCCTGGATAAGGCCCTCGGTGGAGAAATCAGACTTTTTCAGCTTTGTCACTGTCACATTTGTCCTTTCCATAACTTTCTTTAGAGCTTTTTGCTAAAAAAATATAATAATTCAGAATTAACTAGAGCTGTGGTAGTCATAAGAGATCGCCTTAAAATTTATTATACAAGCTAACAAAGTCCAAACCCTGCTAACTACAATGAAATTAATGATTGCAATTTTAAGCAAATTCACTATATGTTTAGCAGTAAACGAAACTATTGCGTGAAAACTTGCATTTCTGAAAAATACATTGAGACATGTCACATCATGTAAGTCATTAAATACAAACTACGGAGTAATATAAATTAGTAAGAACTGATACGCATTGTATTCAATCATTTCTTCCCTTACAGCCTATTAACTCCTCAAGCCCCTTAAAAATCCCGTGCAGTCGCATGCGCCCGGCAAATCCCGAGCGCTCCCAAGCGACCGCACCCACCCACAGCACTTAAATCCATTAAAACTTATATTTAGAGACTATTTTTCTAAAAATAAGTTTAGCATTATAAAATCTATACAAAATTCTCTATCTTGTGGTCTAAACAAGTCAGGTATTACTTCATTACAAAAAGATTTTATTGTATTTTGATAACAAAAAGAAAATATACCAAGCGAATGTCGGCAGCGTGAAAATCACAATTATTTTTATATATTACTCAAAATTATTTACGTAAATAGGTAAATTATATTCACACAAAAACTTTCATTACAATTTTATAATAAAACACTATACGAAAACACTAGAAAAATCCAAAAATCAACACAATAACATTCACGCGGAAATGGCGTACGAAATGAACGTAGATTATAAATAAATATTCATAAGATAACAGTTTTTTTATTGCACTAGAGGATAGAGTATTTTATATTGATTATATAATGTCAAACTTCTTCATAGAAAAGTAGTCTCTATATATAAGTTTTTATGGGTTAAAGTGCTGTGGGTGGGTGCGACCTCATGAGTCCGCTAGGGATTTGAAGGAATATGGCCGCGGGCTCATGCAACCGCTCGGGGGCTGAGGGGTTAAAGTGCATTGCTGAACATAAACCTTATAAAGTGGATATTTGACATACACTTCACACCTGGCAGGAGCGTTGGCAATGCAGTTTTATTTTTATTTTTACTTGATATTAGGAACACACTGCTTCCTACATGATATTTTTCACTCTGACATCTCTTAAGACACGCACAGGACGATATGGGGTAGCGAATATTCTTACTAAACTACTACAAGGTAAGTATTCTATGTGATGTGAATGTGATATTTGCTTGTATGTAAGAGAAACAATTACAGTAATCTTACATCGTCATTATCTCCTTGAATAACGAGGCACTCCGTCGGCGCCATTTGCACTGTGATAGTCTCGAGCTCAGTTAGCAAGTCGTCGTCTGCGAATTCAGATATCGCGAATTGATAGTCAGCGGCCGTTACACAAGCGACGCCAACAAGGCGACCCTGGGGAAAATAAACACTTATGACCTTACTTATGATTATCCTTAAATGAAATACTAGTTATCTCTCATTCTATTGTCACACATTGAAAGAGAGAGAGAGAGAGAGAGAGAGCGAGAGAGAGAGAGCGAGAGAGAGAGAGAGAGAGAGAGAGAGCAACTTTAAGCAATGCTTTAATTGACGGCGAATTTCATGAGTAAGGCCGTTAATGTGTCAGAGCACATAGGCAGAATTGGCGAGAGACTAGTTCGTCTTCCTTCTGGAACCCGTGCATTCTGGTCTCTCGCCAAGGCTGTCCAAGGGAATTTCTGTCAGCCATCTCTTCCATCTCTGCACAGGGAGGACGACTCACTGGCCCACACCGCAAAGGAGAAAGCCGATCTTCTAGGCTCTTTCTTTGCGTCTAACTCGACTCTCGATGACGGGGGGAGTACGCCGCCGACCATCCCGCGGTGTGAGTGCTCCATGCCGGAAGTGCAGTTCACTCAGCGCTCGGTTCGCAAAGCACTCCTCTCCCTGGACATCCATAAGTCGAGTGGGCCTGATGGAATCCCCCCAATTGTGCTGAGGACGTGTGCTCCAGAGTTGGCACCGGTTTTAACGCGTCTTTTCCGGTACTCCTACTCCCTAGGCGTAGTCCCAAAATCATGGAAGACGGCTTTCGTCCACCCGATCCCTAAAAAAGGCGACCGCTCAGACCCGTCCAACTACCGGCCTATCGCCATCACCTCCTTGTTCTCCAAAACAATGGAGTCCATTGTAAACTGCCAGCTCATGAGGTACCTTGAGGATCACCAGCTGATTAGTGACCGCCAATACGGTTTTCGCCGTGGTAGGTCAGCTGGTGATCTTCTGGTCTACCTAACTCACAGATGGGCGGAGGCAGTAGAGTCCAAGGGGGAGGCATTGGCCGTTAGTTTGGACATTGCGAAGGCCTTCGATCGGGTTTGGCACAAAGCGCTTCTTTCGAAGCTCCCTTCCTATGGGCTTCCCGAGAAATTGTGCGATTGGATCACCAGTTTTCTTGCAGATCGGAGCATCAAGGTCGTTGTAGACGGTGCAAGCTCCGATTGCAAGCTTATTAACGCTGGTGTTCCACAGGGCTGCGTGCTATCGCCAACGCTGTTTCTTCTGCATATCAATGATATGTTGCAAACCCGTAGCATTCATTGCTATGCAGATGACAGCACTGGTGATGCTCTTTACACCGGCCGAGCCAATATTTCTCGGGAAAACGTCTCTGAGTGCCGGGACAAACTTGTGTCTGAAGTCGAGTCTCTGCTGGACAGAGTCTCGGATTGGGGGCGACTAAATCTAGTCCAGTTTAACCCCCAGAAGACACAAGTTTGCGCGTTAACCGCTAAAAAGAACCCCTTTGTCGTATCCCCTCAGTTTCAAGGCACTCCCCTTGTTGCCTCAGCCAGTATCGGAATCCTCGGCGTCGACATATCGAGTGACGTGCAGTTTCGTGGTCACTTGGAAGGGAAGGCCAAATTGGCCTCTAAAAAGCTTGGCGTGCTCAGCAGAGCGGGACAGTATTTCATGCCGGCACACCGCCTGCAACTTTACAAGGCGCAGGTTCGGCCGCTCATGGAATACTGTTCCCATCTCTGGGCTGGGGCTCCCCGTACCAGCTCCTTCCACTTGACCGCATCCAGCGCAGAGCGGCTCGAATCGTTGACGACCGAGTGCTTTCCGATCGGCTCGATTTACTGGCGCTGCGAAGAGATGTTGCATCTCTTTGCGTATTTTATCGCATCTATCACGGGGAGTGCTCTGAGGAATTGTTCGGATTAATCCCAGCCGCCAAATTTCGTGAACGCACTACACGGCAAACGTCCCGATACCATCCACACCATCTGGATGCTTGGCGGTCCACCACTGTACGTTTCAAAAGGAGTTTTCTTCCGCGTACAACCTCTGTGTGGAATAATTTACCACCGGTGATTTTTCCGGACCGATACGACCTGGGGACCTTCAAGAAAAGAGCTTACTCCTTTCTAAAGGGCCGGCAACGCACCTGCAATTCCCCTGGTGTTGCGGTTGATCATGGGCGGCGGTAGTCACTTAACATCAGGTGAGCCACATGCTCGTTTGCCCCCTCTTCTATAAAAAAAAAAAAAAAAAAAAAAAAATGTATGACTAAAGCCCCCGACTAGGTCCCGTGATTTGTATTCTCTAGGAGCCTTTACATTGCTTAACCCGCCTCTAGTATCCATACAGTTATTTACGAAAGAGCTAGATAATTTAAATAGCAATGGAATCTATATATGTAATTTAAATAGTAAAGAATTTTTTTGAAGTCTGCTAAAAAGAACAACGCTACTCATTGAATAAAACTAAATTTACGGATTTTAATGCGTATTAACTACTTTTACTTATTTTTTAATTCCCGGCGTTTTGGATGCTTTACAACACTATGTCTATGTCCCCCGTGACCATGGGTGTTGTTAAGCAACCGAAACGTCGGGAATTAAAAATAAGTAAAAGTAGTTAATTAAACGCGATAAAATCTGTAAACTTAGTTTTATTCAATGTGTAGTGTTCGCGTAAATTTAAGAAATCATAAACAACGCTATTATTATGAACAATAGATGCGCAGAATTGAAATTACTCGTTAAAATTTTAAAATATTGCGATGTTATACACATTTCCCGAGAAATTACAAAACGTATGTTAAAATAAAAATATTGCAATAGGGTATAATATATTATTATAATATAATAGTAGCCTTACAAAAAATAAATAAAAATGCAGCATGTAACCATAATAGTTTACAACAAAAATATGTCCTGCACATTACCACCTTTGACATTTCGTAACATTACATTACATTACAACTACTCCCAATGATCGTGTACGGAATTCGAATTCAGGACTTTCAATTCACGGTCCATACATTAATAACCATTAGATTGCTATCGCTTCAAATTACTTTATTATTTACGAAAAACCGATACAAAATGAAGTCGGATACAAAGTGAAGTCGTCTTTTCAAGCTCAGTTCATACTTCTAGAAATGATATTTATAAACATAGATAAGCTATCAGAATTGGTCTCCCAGTAAAACTAATAAATATTCACCATATTCAAGTTTATATAAAGAAAGCCAGTTGACTGTTATTTACATATTACCTTTATACGTTTGGTACTATGAGGCACAATGGCAGCAACATATAAATATTAAATCATAATTAATAATAAGTTATTCTTTCATGATTTAATTTATAATATTAAATGTCTTGCATTTGTTTAAAATAACAATTAGGTTTTAAAATTAATTAAAATAATTAAAGTTAGTTTCAATATTAACTTCAAATAGAGTAAAATGTTAGTTCTTAAAAACTGCAGTGGACTAAGCCTTCGCGCATAATTGTCATTTGTACTTGGTCACTTTGGAATACTGTAGTAATGATTTTCCAAAAATAATGTCATGGACAATTAGTAAAATATCAATTCCTATCTTCGACAAAATATATAAATTTTTATTTAAATACCAAATAAAGTCAAGTTCAGCGGTTCGTTCATTGATAGCCTCTTTTCCATTGACCGTCAATTTTAATGTTTCAAATAAATGACGTTGATAGGTGTAATCTGTTTTAATCAGAAACTCAGTTATACTGCATATTGTAATAAAGACAAACAAACACAAATATTTTACCTTTGTTACGGCATCCGTTTTAAAACTAACCGCCATCAAACATGGCGCATTTTCATTGCTAGCACCCAGACCCTCACCCAGCACTTCTTCCAACTGCGTGAGGTTACCGGGCGAGCCTTTGTACTCGAGGCGCCATTCACTGTTCTTTGATGATCCTTCTGGGACATATATTTCCACTCTATACCGCTTTACCTGTAAATCGTTATCAAATTATGATGATGTTGATTCTGTTAACTTCGAAAGTTATACATTAATATATTATTGTGGTGATTAATATCGCAGCATACTTGCATCATAACTAAGTATCTCCATACTATTATAGTTTAAAAAAAACTTAAGTGGCAATGAACTTACAGTACACCCGATGGAAAGTGGCCACTATAAGTCAGGGAAACCTTTTTTACATGGGGAAATGCCTAAGCATACCCGCCTTACGAGGGTAAGGACGGGTCATGTCGGACTCGCACCGGCTAAAACCCAATGGTGTTCCACAATTGCCGCATATTGGCAGGGCCACGGGTAAACTCGCACACATCCGCGTCACCATCAGCGCCGGCCGCCCCATGGCCGTCCCTTCTCAAGTAAGGCGCCAAGCAAAGCGATGCGGTCATCATGCACCTCCAGTCGCCGGCATGTCGATAGGGATCGAGCCCGAGTAGTTTAATTTACAGCGACCACTTAGCCGCTGAACTACCACGGTTCTTCTTGCTCCCGAAATACAAGCATAATGCTGCGGTGTTTCGTATGGTGACGTATAGGAATCGTAGACCCATTTTACTAGTAACAAGTTCTGAGGGGTAACAATATATTTATATTTTGATTCTTGATGAAGGATTTACGTGGTAGAGCCATGCTGCAATTATATTAGTAGTATAGTTGTAGCACGAATGGGTCGGCTCGAGCGGGGAAGGACCACGCTCTCACAGAATACCAGCGTGAAATAGTAGTTTAACGCTGCTGTATTTCGTATGGTGAGTGTAGAGAACCGGAGACCCTTTTTACTGGAAATGAGGCATTCCATCTCAGTCCTCACGGGTGACAACGCATCTGCATTTTGATTTGTAATGGAAGATAAATGTAGATGTCTATGGGCCGCAGCAACCACTTACCATCAGGTGGACTGTGTGCTCGTTTGTCACCCTATCCTATAAAAAAAAGAGTCACGCTGTAGCTATATTATGGTTGTAGCAGGAATGGGTTTGTCCGATCCGGGTAGAACCACGCTCTCACAGAATACCAGCGTAAAATAGCAGCTGCTGTGTCTTGTATGGTGAGTGTAGAGAACCGGTGACCCTTTTTACTGGAAACGAGGCATTTCATCTTAGCCCTCATGGGTAACAACGCATCTGCATTTGAATCTTATCGGGAATAAATGTAGATGTCTATTGGTCACAAAATCCAACTTACTATCGTCAGGTGGTCCGTGTGCTCGTTTGCCACACTTATTCTATATAAAAAAAGCATCTCCGACGGTAGTCGTCTGATACGAAAAGTCTACACAGCTCGTCGTTCACATCCGGGGCATCCAACATCCCTCCGAGGATTTTACGTACGCATGGTCCTTATAATATGATAAAACGTAAGGAGTGGACAATATGTATATGTGTATATAGCAATACGTAGGGAGTATTTGTTTACAAAAATCTTATATAATAACATTTTATTTTTCCTGTCCAATTTTTTCTGTTTCTTATTATACCCTCCACGTAGTTTACTTTCGATAACACATTGCAGTACAAGGCCTTGTTCCAATTACCCAAGTTCGAATCGTCACGAGTTATTTTTTGTTTTCTTTTAAAATATAGTGAATAGATAAAATTTGAATGGTAATTCGTAAACTATCATGCGATTATACAGCTGTATTCTTTTCAGTAGAGAAACAAGTAGTCAAATCCGTGATTGGTACTTTTTTAAGGCGAGAATCTTCTACTTTAAAAAGCTTCGCTGCATACATATTTTGTCTAGCACGAAGTACCTAAGCGACACTACCGTGCGACATTCAGTGGACAAAAAGTTACTAAGTTTGACCAGTTTTTACTTATTATCGGAAAATAAAGGATATACATAAAAATATAGTTGATAAATATTCTAATTCAATAACACAACGATTATACATAATACTAGCGACCCGCCCCGACTGCGCCTGGGTAGATCTGTTAATATGACGTTATTTAGGTTTAAGAGGTGAGAGTAAGTCAGCTCAAATTCTAATTTCGCCCCCCACTTCCCCGCGCGTCGTATGCTATGTACCGAAATATTTCTAATCACTAATACTGTAAGTAGAAAGGTCGTTAGACACTTATTTCATTAGGTTTATCATATTTATGCCTGCAAGCCAGCCGCTTCTTATTTTTATCACGGTTATTTCCCATTTTAATTTTACGTCGTACTGTTGCGTAATGTATATTCTGATCGTAAGCGACACAACTTCTCCCTTTAAAAGCCTAAGCGATACTAACGGAACGACGGGAATCAAGCTCAAGACGCCGATAGTTTAGGTAATTTCTTTTTACAGTGAAAATAATGGTATTTAAAAAAAAGTAAATAACATAAGCACTGCTTTATAGTTAGTTCAGTTAGTATGCAAAGTTTCATGATCTTATTTAAAGTATTTTATGAATAACAGCGGTTTATTGTTTATTTTGGAGGTAACTTTGGATTTTTTTTTCTATTGAGAAAATTTTACGAAATCGTGTTTTCGTCTAACATAATCACTAACATTAATCCTCAACTTTACCATATATTTATTTCAAAATTAATGCTGCAATATTTTCGGCATAACGAAGGATCTTGCTAAGCCATTTGACATTATATTTCCCCTTAAGATGACAATTTATTATATTAATTATTCGGTTTTTTTTTCAAAAAAATCTAGTTTTTTTTGGATAAAATGTAGCCTAGATCACTCCTGGCTTTATTTGTTCGTGAACTTTCATTAGAATCGGTTCAGTCAACCGGAAGATTAGCAAGGACAGACACAAAGTTTAAAAAATCTGTTGACCCTGCAGGCCATCCCTGGTACTTGCCGCTAATTTCAAATGCAAAGCGCTCCAAATTTCACCAAATTATGTTGCGAATTAATCTCGAAGTTATGTTAAAAAAAAATCGCTTTTTTCAAATTCTTTCTCCTTCGATATCTCACGAACGAAAGAACCGATTTTTATTTTCCAAACGGTATTCTACGTTATTTTTTGAGGTTAAGAGCTGATTAGTTTTTGAAATCGATCGGTAAAGCCGTTTAAAACACACACGCACACGTTCACGCACACGCCCACGCGCTCGCCCGCACACGCACACACACACACACACATCCGTACGGACGTCCACGCGAAATTAGTCAGAATAGCTTATTCGGATCTAAAAACGTCGAGATCTGATGAAAACTCGATTTTCGAAAATCGAGGTGAAACCAATAACTTCCCTATTTATGAAAATTTTCAATTTTCTTAGCGTTAAGTTAAAAAAAATGTCAAATGTTATTAATGTCTTAATGGTATGCAAATAGCCCATTCAGCTCAATATAACGCAGGTATTGAGATATTACAGACAGATTATATATATTATATATAATATATACCGACATATAAGATTATTAACACGACCTAGGGACCTTCAAGAAAAAAACTTACTCCTTTCTAAAGAGCCGGCAACGCACATGCAATTCCCCTGGTGTTGCGGTTAATCATGGGCGGCGGTAGTCACTTAACATCAGGTAAACCGTATGCTCCTTTGCCCCCTCTTCTATAAAAAAAAAGAAAAAGAAAAGACAGCCACTTTAATGTTAATTATATTTATAAAGATATATGAAAAATATGATGTTTATATCAATTTATTTTACTTATTCTTAATTTATTCCATTTCGAATGGCAATATTGACTTTATTTATACTTAATGTTGATTGATAACGTTCAAAACTTTACTTGAATAAGCGAGGTCAATAATCAGAATAATCTATTTCGTAGTAAAGAAAAGTTTTAATAATATCATTGAGATAGCGTCAGTTTGTTTCTTAATATCAACAAATAAAAACTATAACTTTAAACTTACAGTAGAATATTTTCATTCGTTTGACAATACCTATTTTTTTCAGGTTATTAAAAATTAACAAAGATTTGGTCTTCACAGTTACTTTTGGTCTTATTCAATTCAATTCAATTTATTATTTGCTATTCTTGTTGTACATTTGGTCTTATATTTAAAAAAAAATGTTCAAAACAAGAACCCTGCAAGGGCACTGCAAATATAGGCAATTATTAATATTATTATTACATTCACATTATAGTATTATAAAATTATCATTTAATGAATATTTACAATTAACTTAAATATAAATTGGATCATATTATATTATTTATTTGTTTCAATTTCCTGTTTCCTACTCAATCACTAAAAACTCCTGCAACGAGTAATAACATTTTTTCGTTAAATATGTATTATTACTTACTGTAGGTATTTAATTATTAAACGTATAAACGTATACGTACGATATTTTTTTAAAAGAATATTAACAATGCTATAAACATTACTAATATTCCCCCCTTAACCACTCGTGGTAAGCTTAAATTGCTTGTGTTACGAGTGGCTCACGCCAGTAGTCGAATGGCGGATTCGAACCCACGACCTTTTTGAGTTCGCGGTCCGCGCCCTGCCATTAGGTTACTGTCGTTTATAATATTATTATATTAAAGGTACTTCATTACTTCAATACTAATTAATATTAAAGGTACTTCACGTTAATAGTAGTCAACACAAACATTTCTATAGAATTAAGCGAAAAAATATAGTAAAATGAAGTCATAGTTCTTACAGTCAAATGGCCATCTAATTTGATGGTTTTATATATTAAAAATGTAATTTAACTCAAAGAATAAGGGTAATACAAAGACAAACGAGATAATCTAAATAATGGTAAGCAGATGCTGTAGCCCATCGATATTTAGATCTATCCTTGATTTAGAATCAAAATGCAGATGCGTTATTACCCCTGAGGGCTAAGATGGAATGCTTTCCAGTAAAAAAGGTTCTCCGGTTCTCTACACTCACTATATGAAACTCAGCAGTATTAAAGGTGCTATTTTAATCTGGTGTTCTGTGAGCACGTGGTTCTTCCGTGGTCGAACCGACTCTTTTATGCTACAACTATAAAATAGCTGCAGCATATATACCAGATATTTGTCTTAGATATATTTTTG